GAAGTTGTTTTATGGGAACATCTCTTGCTTATCCTGTAACTGAAAACCAAGCAAGGAAACTTTCTCGGTGTAATTTATTACATATGGAATTTGTAAATGAAGTAATTCAGGAGGGGAAGTTCTACCATCTAGAAAGAGATTTAAAATCTGCCAATTGCGATTATCACCCAAACTAGCCGTAGCTCCAACTATTAGCCTAATAAAAAGATATCCCTGCCACAGCAAACCTGCAGACCAAGCATCTCCATACCGGGTTGGATTTTCACTAAAATATTACCTTAAAATTGTAAAATATAATACCTACTAAAATATTAATCATTTTAACGAATACTTATGTTGGCTGCTTAAGGTAAGAGAATAATGTGTGTTTCATATTGAAATTTTAATAACTTTAGTACTTTTGCCAAAATTGAACACATTTTATTCATAAACAAGTAATAAAACATTTACTTATTCACCATAAGAAAATCGCAAGAATTTCATATTTACAGTTTTTTGAACATTCATCCGTAAACACTTATTGTACAATAAGGAATCAATGTTTTAGATTAATTGTTCCTTTACTAAATTTGTTTAAAGAATTGCAAAGATTTATGTTTTTCTAAAAAGAAAAATGGGAAAACTCAATTTTCCACACCATGCACTCCCATCAGAACTCCTCTCATACTCCGATCATACTGGTTTGTGAACTCGTTCAAAGTAATGTATGTTTACGCCACACTACACTGTTTTGACGAACTTCCCATGCAAGGATTTAGTCCAGAAAACAGCTATTTGCCGCCAGCTTAATCAAATGGGGTTTAATTGCGTACTACTATACTGTAATGAGTTTTACCGGACACCAATCAGCTGATTATACTGTATTTGGGTGGCAATGAGTAGTTATAAACAAAAACATAACCTCTCTCAGAGGTTATGACTAGTGATTTTTAGTCCTTTAGTTGGCGGTAATATATAAGGATTTGTACAGATTTAGTAGTATGGCGTAAACCATCGTACGTCACTCGCCCAAAATGTGACTCGACTTCGTCTCGCACGGGAACGACCACACTCGTCCGGCAAACACTTATTTTGAGGACTAGTAACGTAATATTACACGTTTTCACAAAATTCCATCAAAATCCTAATTGAATTTTTACGTATGGTTTTTTTGGCCTCTGGGGACCACAAAATGAAAAACTAAATCACTCCTGAGTCTAGGTATTACTATGATACCTAGTTAAAAGCTTATTTCCTGTATGGGACATTTACTGATAAAACTATCGGTTTGACAAACAAGAACTAAGAAAACTCTCAACTAAATACCATTAAACATTACTTTATGATATCTTAAATTGTGCACGTTGGTCCAACTTGACTTAACTCAATACAGTAGTTAAATCCACTTTACATTACATTACTCCTTTACTAATGTAAAGGAAAAAGAAATAAAATATAAATATAACCAAACCCAACTGTAACTAATAGGGGTTTATCACCTTTTTACTGGACAAACTACAACTATTTTTGACTCAAACTATCCATTCAGATAGACCATATCTCAAGATTGGAGCTGGAAATGCAAACATAATTTACAATTGGTTTACTCACCCCAGAGCGTTGTTGGAAAAGTCAATAACGGTTGAAATGTTGAATAGGGAATGTTCAATTTGTTTAGCTGAGATGGAAAAATACTTGAGGTTGGTGCATAAAGAACAATTTTCGTATTTAATTATTAACATTTCAATCGTATTATTCATCATGTTATACATTTACTTGGCCAAACGAATCCAGTTTAAGGGCTTAGGAAAACAGAAATATTTTTACTTTGTCAATGAAGATGATAACCATATATTTTATAACATTTATATTTTATATCACAGTATTACATAGGATGGAAATGGTTTATTAAGGTATAAAATTAAACGCCCCCATCGTTAGGTATTAGTCATAATTATTTAGGTTAAGAAGTTATTGGATGTTGTGTATTAGGTTAGACCGTTTATTTACTTCCAGTTATTTCAATAAACATTATAAGTAATGCAAGTATTTAACCTAAATTCCACTTTCATGACAAGTACCTTGTATGTTTTTTATCAAGTTTATTTTATCTTTGATACAGACTAGTTTACTTGAAACAACTGTTTTGTTCTGAGTGGTTAATTCATCCTGAGGTCCAAAATTGTCAGAAAACGCAGTCTCTTATACAAGTGCATGCAAATACATTTGCTATTTAAATAAATCCGGGGAAATCTCAATACAAAATAAATCATTTTTAAACATGTAATTATTTTTCAATCTCAACTATAGTTAGTTTTATTTGTTTGTTTTAGGCCTACTAATTTCAAAAACATAATTTTAGATATAATTTTAATAATACATAAATAGCACTGTAAAAGAAATAGAGTAAAAAGAGGAATGGTGCGAAAGTAAATGTTTTCCTTCACCTGTATCAAGACGCAGTACAAACATCGTACTCTGATAGCTCGTACACGTCACAGATAATGTAAAGGTTTATCTAAATCGGGGTTCAAAGACCCCAGTAAACTGTTTGTAAATATCACCGTCTTCGTGTGTGAAAGTAGGCTACGTAGCATTTAGTATGTGATATATTATAATCTTCTATAAGTATAAAAGAGGATGTTTGTGTATATATTTGTTTGGCAGTGATAAACTCAGACACCGCTGAACCGATTGCCACGAAACTTGGTACATACGTGAAGAATGTCATAGAATAGGTTTATACACCATCAATTTCGTGATCCGTCCAATCGGCTCCGCCCCAGTGGCTCTGGAGTTTCCCATGTTAACCTTATGAGAAATAGAATTAATGAATCTTAACAGCTGTTTCAGTTAAACAAGTTGGTTCTGTTCTATGATGTTCAATAGCATTAAAGTTACAAGGATTACTAACAGGGTGCAGCACTATTATTTCTTTTGCATTTATGACAACAGCTAATTTGCAACCAAAAGGTGAGTGAGCGTAGCGAACGAACTTCAACCTGGAGGCGAGTTAGCGTAGCGAACGAGCTAACCTGAAGGCAAGTGAGCGCAGCGAACGAGCTCCAACCTAAAGGTGAGTGATCGTAGCGAACAAGCTCCAACCTAAAGGTGAGTGAGCGTAGCGAACGAACTTCAACCAGGACGTGATTGAGCCATGCGAACGAGATCATCTTGAAAATTAAGAAGTTAAACGGGGCAAAGCCCGCGGGTTACAGCTAGAGGTCTCTATCCTAACACAGTAAAATATGGCTAAGGCAAGACAACGTCTGCCGGGTTCAGCTAGTGTGTCTTGAAAAGTCGTTATTTAGGAGTTTATCAAATCCAACAGATAGGTGATCGATATGACCAATTTCACAATTTTATTAGCACAAGCATATTTCAATTGGTACCTATTGCCCTGAAACTTGAACTAGCACAATAGCTTCATAGATGAACGTGTTTCTTTCTTACCTCGAGGGGTTGATAACTTACGAGTATATATTAATATTTTAATGTGGCTTGTAATTCATAACGAGGTTTCCAAAGTAACCCTCAATGAGTTAACCCTTGTTGGATTGAACATTGAGAAAGCTATATGGAAGGCTTACCATTTTTACAGTTTTATAATACTACAAATTAACATAGGCTGGCGTTTTGGTGAATCTTAACCTAAATATAAGCAAAATTAAGGATATTTACTTCGTCATAGCGTTCTGTAAGTAAGACTTTTCACTGAATTTTCTTTGCGGCTTTCAGAGGACATAGATTAAAAATATTATTTATTACGTATTCATTGTATTTTGTCACCTGATAATACGGTTGTAGTTAAACGTGACGTTAATAATCACGCTGAAGAAATAATCAGAGTAAATAGCCAATGAAACTAGGTAAATGGCCTATACTAAACGAATAATATAGTTTTTAGTTTTCCTAATTACATATAGCTTAACATGTAAATTTTATTTCCTATATTTCAAGTTCTAAGTATTTAGGACTAATTTTACAATGAACCCTAGTAATGTTGATTTTTAGAGTTGCTTTATTGTGTATTATTTTTTTGATGTACTTTGAAATCGGTGATTATACTATAATACTATTGATTTTTGAAAATGCTCTTCATCACTATTTTTTCGCCAATATGTTTTCCTGATCAAACTTTCAAAAATAAAGTTAAAAACCTATTTAATTAGCAACTAAAGGGAAATTGCTTAACAGTGTTTTAGACTACTGCAATGAACAAATTTTGAAGAATGGACACACTTTTTAGAACACAAGAAAGGAGTTAGTGATAAATCGGGTCCGGCAGCCAGGTTTACGTCTGCTGTCGTTGGTTAACTTTGTTACTGAAGCAGAATAATAGTTTTTGTCTACTAAGCTAGTGTTGAATTTATTTATGTCTGAATTTCGCATAATTTCTCCATTATTTCGCCGTCATTTACAGTTAGTTATAGCGATATTTTAACTAGAATGTGAAGTAAAGAAACATATCTTATTGTTTGTGTAACAACTAGTCTAGTTCATGTTTAAACTACTAGGAACCTTTATTCTACTATACCGGAAGGTTTATTTTTATTTATCTCGTATATTTTTCACTGAAATTGCTATTTTCCCATTTTTTCACAGCGCAAACCCTACTCTTGTTATAATCCATGTTCAAGCTGTTGGTAAATAACGTCATAATTATTGACATAACAATTATTGCATCGAGGTCTAGGATTGAAGTCGCTTGAATCCGAAGCGTTTTGTTGTATGTTGTGAGAGGTTATATACAGTGTGTAAATTAATTCTTGAAACAAATCTGTATTTTTTTAATCAAAATATATAATATTCAGTTTGTGGCGTTGATTGTTAAGATAGGTACCGTAATATTTACATCAAAAATATTTTTTAACCTCCGTAACATGGTGAGGGTTAGGGGATGACTTATTTTTTCAAGTATCAACCTCTATTTAGTGACCCCTCATTTTGAAGGAATTGTCAAAAGATTAAAACAAATTAAATTAAATTATTATAAATATTATTAAAGGCTGCCGACTAACCTCTGAAGGGTATGGCGTGATAGAAGGTGTAGACACCGTGGTCTGAGGGGATCCAAGATGGAACAGGTTCAAAACCAGCACCAGTCTGAAACAATTAATACGATTTTAGTTTACAATTTAAAAGAATGTTAAATTTTTGTACAACATGTAATACTTTACAACACAATTTTATCAAAGATATTGTAATTTTTACCCAAGTATGACAATAAAAAGCAGTCACTAAGGCACTAGTGACGAGATATATTTCTTTATAACATATTATTAAAGTGTTTGAAAGAAATATCGTGAATTAAATTACAAACATGAGTACCCGATTTTTTTAAATAACACAAACAAAGGAAAACCTTTTTATGAAACCATTTACATTTTTCGGAAATGAAGGTAAATGCAAATCGAGATTACTAAAGGAAATGTAATATTCATTAGCATTTAATCCTCTTTAGTTCATTTTAAAACAATCATGTATTTGACTAAATGCTATTATAAGCCTACCAAAGTGTGGAGTTTTTATAACAGATTTAATTTTATTACACATGTTATATGAACATTACATATTAAAATTATTTAAAAAAGAATTAATTTAAATGCTATGTACCTTTTTAAAATAAAATATGTACGTTACATGTCATAAATGAATGGATGTGAACAATGTGGTTTTTTCCGCTATTGTTTATTTTTTGTTTCTACATCGCCTTTCTGTCGAGTAAGTGTTTCACGGACACTAAATACATGCAAATAACGTTCATAAAATATAAATATTTTCTCTGAAAAGAATCATATATACAAGTTTGACGAGGGACATAAAATTAACATTTGCTTTATTAAAGTAACACCTCGCTGTTTCATACAAGCGAACAAAACGAACGAGACACACAATTAGGCAACTAAAATATTTAAATGTATAATTGCTCAGTTTTCTAGTGTTTTTATTTGTACATATAAAATGTATAGTGTAAATAAATTTCCTCCCGTGCGATGCCGGGTTAGAATAGCACCGCAGCCTTCCCGGGCTTGTCGTAAGAGGCGACTAAAAGGGAGACCGACGTTCTCACTGGGAGTCCCTGGGAGTGCCTGTGTTGTGTTTGCAGGGGTTGATGTGTGCTCTGCACTGCCGATGGGTATTCTTAGTGGGTCGTGAGAAGCCAGCCACTTCGGTCCTTGGTCAGGGAGTGCGGCATGGATGTAGAGGTCGGGCTCTGCATTGCGACGGGCGACCCCCGGCACGTTAGGTATCCGGTGCTGGGCAAACGGAGGTCAGGCCCCGGGGAACTGGGGTAGGGTTTTTGTCCCCGAGGGTAAACCCGTTCCTGACTGATTCCGGGCCGCTCCTTGCCGCACGATGCGCTGGAATAAACACGATGGCTTTAAATAAAACCCCTCAAAACACATTTTTGATCAAGAGCTCAAATGAGCCAGGAAAGACGTTGGAAGTGGAGCGGAACGCTTTTGTCCGTAGCTCCAAGGTGCAGCGGTCGCCACCACCGAAAAACGTGAGGACATCTCCCCCACCTGCCACCTTCAAATGCACTAAGGAGTTCCCCCGTTTAGGAGCTCCTTCGGCAAGTGGAGCTGGGAACGGTGCGGAAAACGCCGGAGATGCAGGTGTCGAGCTGGTGTTGCCAGCAACTCTACCCCACTCTGCCAGTTCTGCTGTAGGGATGCCGGAGGAGCCATTCACAGCACTATTGGTGTCGGAAGGCTCTGAGATGGTGCTTCTGCGTCAGGAATATCTTGACGCAGAGAGTGACATTGAAACCCGGCTCCAAGACATGGAAGCTACGATCAAGGCTATGCTGGACACCTTCCGGACCCAGAAAGCCGTAAATCAAGTGGTCAAAAACGGCATGGCCAAACTGGAGGATGACCTTGGCTTCGTTTTTGCCTGCCGGGTGGTGAGTAAGGCAGCCATGGAGAAGATTGCTGAGAAGGTTGTGTCTCTGTCTGACGAAAGAACACTGCCTTCTAAGAAACGTAAAAGGCCTTCCACATCGGACAGTCCTCAAAAAAGAGAAGAAGGCGTCCAGACCAAAAGGACCACGGTAAAAGCCAAGGGGACTCAGACTGACCTATTGTCTGCTGTGCCCAGATCCTTTTCGGACATTGCTGCAGCTCCTGTAAAGAACCAACAGCCACAGCTACCTACGACCCCCCTTCAGGGAAGTTCCCGAAAGGGGTCAGTCGTAGAGACACCTGGGGCTGCGTGGGAAAAACACCGTTCCAGAAAGGAGAAGAGGCAGTTGAGGCGGGCGGAGGTCGCCTCTATAAAGAATGTGGCAGTAAAGGCTCAGCCGACCGGCGTGGCCCAAACTGGGCCCGGCTCGGTCTCTGCTCCGAAAAAGTCCCGGCCAAAAAAGCCCAGGACGGAGGCAATCCTGGTCAAGCCCTCAGGGGGGAGATCTTTCGCCGAGGTCTTGGGTGCAATTAAGGCCAAGGCTAAGCCAGAACAGACCGAAACGGTTGTATGGTCGATTAGACAAACCCGGGACGGGGACGTTCTCCTTGAACTGGGTAAGTCGAAAGACAAAGCAGCCTTTACTTCGGAACTGAAGGCAGCTGTTGAAGGCCAGGGCACCGTCCGTGCTCTTGAACCAAAGACATCAGTTCGAGACATTGATTGTGTGTCGACGGAGGTTGATGTTGTTGAGGCCCTGAAGAAAGCTGTCCCCGAGCTTGGCGGGCAATCGGCTTTCCTTAAGGTGTGGCTCACAAAACCGAACATGAGTCAGCAGCGGATGGCGGTCGCCGAAATGGCAGCCGCACATGCCACGAAGGTGCTGGGACTCCAGCATCTGAGAGTCGGCTGGGTCAACTGCAGGCCCAGACGGAGAGTGGAAGTGAAGAGGTGTTTTAAATGCCTCTGTTTCGGCCATTCCTCCCGAAACTGCAAGGGACCCGACCGAAGCAAGAACTGCCTTCGGTGCGGGGAGGTCGGTCACGTCCGTAAGGACTGCCAAGTCGAGTCCTGTTTCCTTTGCAAAGAAAATGGGCTCGCTGACAAACACTTGAAGCATATAGCTGGGTCTGGACAGTGTAGTGTATTCAAATCTGCACTACAGCAAGCGAAAGTCCTTTCACGAAGATAAGAATCCTTCAGTGCAATCTTGAGCGATCCAGGTCGGCTGACGCACTTCTATGTCAGCTTGCCCTAGAACACGATGTCGACGCGCTCTTAGTCAGCGAACAGTACCAGTACCGTGATAGGGACCCATCTTTTTGGTTCCCTGATAGTCTTGGTACTGCTGCATTCTGGGCGCGTAATGCAGCGAAAGTACAAGTACGGGGTCACGCGAAGGGCCGAGGTTTCGTTTGGGTTCGGTGCCGGGATGTCACTTTCTTTAGTGTCTACCTCACTCCCAACGAGGCCATCCGTGAATTTCGTGAGAAGATAGACCGCCTGGAAGAGAGCGTGCGCAATACCACAGGACAAATCGTCGTGGGTGGGGATTTTAATGCTAGGGCTGTCGAGTGGGGAATGACCCTCACCAATTCCCGGGGCAAGTACATTCTGGACTTTGCTGCCAGAGCCGGACTCGTTGTCGTCAACGAGGGAAACACGCCAACCTTCCGGCGCCCTGGGATGCGGGGAACGATCCCAGACATAACCCTGGCATCTGAGTCCCTTTTACCAAGGATCAGAGCCTGGAGAGTCCTGGAGGATTACACGGGCAGTGACCACCAATACATTATTTTTGATGTCCTGGATGGTCATCAGAGGCAAGTAGCCACGTTTCGTCAAGTACCCGTACGATGGAATATTAAAAAATTGGACGTGGCAAAATTCAATGAAGCCATCTTACGAGGAACACCGGTGGTTCCCCCCGCAACTAGCGTGGCTCACGCAGAGGTGTTAGTTACATCCATGATGGGACTAATCGTCTCGGCTTGCGATGAGTCTATGGCTCGCAGGAGATCCCGGTGCAATAAGCGAGCTGTGTACTGGTGGAATGCCGAGATTGCGGAATTGCTTCGGTCAGCATTGAGAGCCAGAAGACTTGCTACCAGGGCCAGAGAACCTGTAGACAGACGTCGTAAGTCAGATGCTTACAGAGTGGCTAGGAGGTTTCTTCGTCGAGCCATCAACCGGAGTAAACGCAGTTGCTGGGAGACATTAAGGGACGATATCGATTCCAATCCGTGGGGCTTGGGTTACAAACTTGTAACTAAGAAACTTGGCACCCGCTCTCCACCTTCCGTCATGGATGGGGCCACTATGGAGAGGATAGTCGAGTCCCTTTTCCCGGCTCACACGTTGCGCCCACTGCGGAATTTCGGAAGGGTGGATGACGTACCACTTTTCAGTCTTGGAGAGGTGGAGGCGGCCGTCCTATCCCTGAAGAACAATAAGGCTCCTGGACCCGATGGGGTACCCGGCGAAGTCCTCAAAAAGGTTTTGACTACTGACCCCTTGATCCTTCTGCGCATGTACAACGCCTGCCTAGTCGAAGGAGTTTTCCCCTCGTGCTGGAAAACAGCTAGGCTTGTGCTTGTTGGGAAGGGGAAGGGAGACCCAGACCTGCCATCCTCTTACAGACCTCTGTGTATGTTGGATACGGCTGGCAAAGTCCTCGAGAAGTTGATCCGTTCCCGACTGAATTCAGCCGTGGTCGCTGCGGGGGACCTGTCCCCTCGCCAGTATGGATTCAGGGTGGGGCGATCTACGGTTGATGCTGTTGAAGAGGTGAAGCAAGCCGTGATGAGAGCTGAGGATTTTAACCACTACTCTCGAAGGGTTTATTGTGCTGCTCGTAACTCTCGATGTGCGAAACGCATTTAATTCGACGAGGTGGTGCGATATGCTGGATGCTCTGGAGAACACCTTCCACGTCCCGGCATACCTGATGCGTATTATAGAGGATTATCTCCGGTTCCACCTCCTCATGCATGACACTATAGAGGGCCCACGGACGATGAGTGTCACTTCCGGTGCTGCCCAAGGTTCCATACTCGGCCCGGACCTCTGGAATGTCGCGTATGACAGCCTCCTGAGGTCTGAAATGTCTGAGGAAACTGTTTTGGTTGGGTACGCGGACGACGTTGCAGTTTTGATAGCTGCACGTAGCGTTGAGCTGGCTCAGCTAAAGCTGA